GCCAGGCAAGGCGAAAAGGAATTTTTCTAATGCCCAATAATAACCCTTACTCATCCTTGCTAATGAGAGCCTGGATCAACTTTTCCGCAGAAAGAAAACGGCTTAATTAATTGGTAAGCAGAATTGAGCTCCTAAAACACCGTCAGTGGCCTTGGCGGCGTCTAGCCCCGAAATGGCCGCCCCGGGTCCCTAGCCCCATTTCAGTCTCTCCTTTCCTCCCCAAGGGGCCTTGATCAGAACCACTCTGGGGTACAAGCGTCCGCACGCCCTGGGCTGGCCCACGGCGATCCGGCCTCCGCGCCAACCCTCATCTCTCGAGCGCCGCCTCCGCCGCCCCGGGGCCCCCTCCCGGGCGCTGTGTTCTCCCTCTTCCCCGGCACCCCGAGACCCCTGGCCCCCATCCCAGGCATCCCGCGTGTCTCCGCGCGCCCGGAACTCGCCAGCTCCGCGGGGAAGTGAGGCCGATCGCAGTACCGGCGGCCTGCGCGGGGAGGCATCCTGCACCCCCAGAAGTCCCGCAGCCGCCCCGCCCCCGCCCGGGTCTCCCCCTCTCCGCCCCAGCACTGCTAGTTCGAGTGGCTAACGCGGGCCGGGAGAGGAGGCGGGAGCAAGGCTGGACGCGGGAACCAGCGCGCCTCTGGGGTCGGGCGGGGATTCCGAGGGGGCACCGTGCGCCCTGGACGACGCGCGCGGGGCCCTGGCCGCAGTGGGAGCGCGGCGCGTGCCCACGTTCCGCCCCGGCGCGCCCGCCCGCCCCGAGGTGGCCTCGCCAGCGGTTCCGTAGCACCCCGGCGGGCGGCCTGGGCGGGACCACCGCGCCTCTGCTCAGCCCTGCCCTCGACCCTCTAGACGCCTTCCCCTACCAGGCCCCGGGCCCGCACCGCCGCTTCCCGGGCGGCTGGGGCGCAGCGGCCACCGCAGCCCAAGATGCCCCCGGCGCCGCTCCATCCCCGGGCCCGCGATGCAGCGCGGCCCGGGATACTCACTGTCCGCAGCCCTCGGGGCGGCGGCCTCACTGGGCTCCCCGCCCCGATCCCCGAACTTGCTGTTTCCCTCGGAGCCCCCTGAGCGGCTGGGCGGAGAGATTTGTGGCAACGTCGCCTATCATCCTGGAGGTGCCGGTGCCCGCGGCTCTGCGCTCCGCCCGGTTCGGCGCGCTGTGCGGGCTCCCGGCGCCTCTGCCGCTCGCTGCCGGGCCAGCTCCGTTTTGTGGAGCTTGGAGCTCGAGGCCTCAGTCCGTGTGGTTTTAAAAATGGTGCGTTTGGAGGTGCCCGAACCTAACCTGAGCTTCCTTCCAATCCGTGCAATTTCAAATCTCCATGCTCGTTCATTCCTATACCGGCTAATTCTGGTTTGGCAGGAAAAAAAAAAAAAAATTGCAGTCACCTCACGTGCACACTCTCGTGGCCGGCTGTAGTTTCCAGCTTTGGCTGAGGTTCGCTAATGCTCTCGGCACGTTTATAGCTGGAGGAAAGGGCCCGAAACCTAAGATGCAGGTGGGAATGGAAGTATCTTCCATTTCTCTGAGATAGGGGAGAAGTGATGAAAAAAGCCCTCAGCCAAGGCTGGACCGCAAAATATGGCAGTTCGTGAGGGAAGAGTCGGGCGGGCCCTGCAAGTGTTCTCAAGCCAAAGGGGACTGAAAATCCTTTATTCTTTGTCCCATCCTGGGTGGTACCTCTCCCTGCGCTTTCCCCGGTATCTAACTGTTGCCTGGCTCTTGCATTCGTAGGTACCAGGTACAGATTTCATTTCCACGTGTACCTACTCTGTTCCCAACACAATGCTTTGCCCAGGGAAAGTTTTCAATATTTGTTAAACGACTGTGTGAATAAATGAAGCCAGTGCTATTTTTACCTCACTTGAAGGACTCTGTAGTAGTTCTCTGTTGCTATCGTAATGTAGTACCACAAACTTAGTGACTGAAAACAACGCAGGTTTATTATCTCATAGTTCTGGGGGCCAAAAGTCCGAAATGGATTTCACTGGGTTAAAATCAAGGAGTTGGCAGGGTTGTGTTCCTTCTGGCAGCTCTAGGGGGGCGCTCATGCTTCTAGAGGGTGCCCACATCCCCCGGCTCCCGGCCATGTCCTCTGTCTTCAAAGCCAGCAATTCTGTGCACCATTCTGTGCCTTTCTGCATACTCACATCTGTCTCCTGCTTCCACTGTTTTGTTTTGTTTTTTTAAATAAATTTATTTATTTGGCTGTGTTGGGTCTTTGTTGCTGTGCACGGGCATTCTCTAGTTGTGGCGAGCGGGAGCTACTCTTCGTTGCAGTGCTTGGGCTTCTCATTGCGGTGGCTTCTCTTGTTGCGGAACACGGGCTCTAGGTGTGCACGCTTCAGTAGTTGTGGCACGTGGGCTCAGTAGTTGTGGCTCACAGACTCTAGAGCACAGGGTCAGTAGTGTGGTGCACCGGCATAATTGCTCCGTGGCATGTGGGATCTTCCCGGACTAGGGCCTGAACTTGTGTCCCCTGCTTTGGCGGATTCTTAACCACTGCACCACCAGGGAAGTCCCACCTGCTTCCACTTTTAAGGGCTCTTGGGATTACATTTGGCCTAGCAGTGGTAATTGGATTATTGGATAATCCAAATAATCTGCCTGTTTTAAGGTCAGCTGATCAACAATCTTAATGCCATCTGCATTAATTCCCCTTTGCCATGTAAGGTAACATATTCACAGGGTCCAGAGATTAGGATGTGGGCATCTTTGAAGGACCATTATTCTAGCTATCATAAATTTCCTTCTTTCTTCCTTTTCCCCTTCCTTTCTTGTTTCTTTTTTTTTTATTTTTGCAAAAAAAAAATATTCACATTATCAAATTTTGACTAAAAATAATTGAGAACATTATGAGAAAGTGAGGACATTTCGATGAAGCACCGGGCTTATGTGGTCCAAACGTTTTACTTTTGCTGATCGGAACATGAGCAAATGGATGGTTAATATTCCCTTGGCCTGACCTTCTCAGATATCACCCATTTCAACCAGGCTTTTGACAGTAAGTCAAGATGGGCTTCCTGGCAAATACCTTAAGTGCAGATGATCCATCTTGTTTGAAAAGAGGTCTGTAAGATTTTTAAGTCTTTTTTTCCCCCTCTGAAATCTTTTAGATTTATTGAGGTATGATTGATGAAGTATGGACTGTATGTATTTAAATGTACAACTTGATGAGTTTCAGATAAGTCTGTGGAACCATCACCTCCATCAAATAACTCCAGAATTTTCCTGCGCCCTTTGTTTTTTTTTTTTGCTGTACGCGGGCCTCTCACTGTTGTGGTCTCTCCCGTTGCGGAGCACAGGCTCCAGACGCGCAGGCTCAGCGGCCATGGCTCACGAGCGCAGCCGCTCCGTGGCATGTGGGATCTTCCCGGACCGGGGCACGAAACCGTGTCCCCTGCATCGGCAGGCGGACTCTCAACCACTGCGCCACCAGGGAAGCCCTTTCCTGCACCCTTTGAAAGCCAGTCCTCACCCCACTGCACGCCACCCCAGGCCACCTCTCATCTGCTCTCTGTGAAGCTTCTCCTCTGGACCATGGGTACTTCACAACTAGAATGCCCACAAAAAGGCCTTTCTTTTTTTCCCTTCCAGCTTTACTGAGGTATAATCAACAAATAAAATTGTATATGTTTAAAGTGTGCTATGTGATGATACACAGGCACATTGTGAAATGACTATGACATCACAATCAAGTTAATGAACACAGCACTTCATGTAGTTACCTTTTCTTTTTTCTTTTCTTTTTGGTGGTGAAAACACTTAAGATCTACTGTCTCAGCAGATTTCAAGTATACCTTCCAGTATTGTTAACTGTAGTCACCATGCTGCTGTACATTAGGTCTCCAGAACTTACTCATCTCATAACTGAACGTTTGTACCCTTTGACCAACATCTCCCCGTTTCTCCCACCCCCTAGACCCTGACAACCACCATTCTACTCCGTTTCAATGAGTTCAACTTTTTTTTTTTTTTTTTTTAGATTCTACATATGAGTGAGATCATACAGTATTTGTCTTTCTCTGCCTGGCTTCCTTAACTTACCATAATGTCCTCCACGTTCATCTGCGTCGTCACAAGTGGCAGAATTTCTTTCTTTTTTTATAGCTGAATAATGTTCCATTGTGTATATATCACATTTTCTTCATCCATTCATCCATCAGTGGACACTTAGGCTGTTTTCCTATTTTGGCTTTTGTAAATAATGCTGCAATGAACATGGGAGTGCAGATGTCTCTTCAAGACACTGATTTCATTTCCCATAGAAGGCTTTTCTAAGAAATCATTTTGTCTTCACAAGTTTCATTGCTCTTAACCGCCTGGCAGTCTCTTGTTGACACAGGTAGGTTGAGAGCAGACCTGGAGCAAAGGAGCCTCCTATCTGTGAGTCACCGGTTGGTGTGCCTGGGTTAAATGAATAGAAAGCCGTTGTACATTAGAATGTAAAAGACAAGCACTGAACATTTTTCAGGTATCTGAGGTACAAGACCCTGACATCATCTCTTGATTTCTAGGCAAATTACATATTGTTCCACAATAGTAATCTCACTTTTAACTTAATTGTATCAGGTAATAACCTTGTCCCTTAAGAAGATAAAATGATTCAAGTGATGCTTCTAAAATCCTTTCCTCTTAGTTTTTTTATCATGCATTCAACTGATTTCATAACGCCACGTTGGAGTTGGGGTGCAACTAAGGATGTGGACAATCTTTGCCTTAAATTTGTTGCCTTAATGGTGTGCATTAAGCAGAGAGTAGGAGAAAATCAGCTTTTGAGGAAGTTCTGGCACAGAATATTGAAGGTGTTAGAGCAATACCCTAAAGTGCCACCTTGACTGTCCCATTTTTATAGCCAATTCAGATACGAACATGACCTAGAACCACATGGTTACCCCAGACCATCATTCCACCCATCTCTCAGTATAGAAGGCAGCCCGCCCACACCCCTGCAAGCTTAATGCAGTAGACTGTAATGGTTAATTTTATGTGTCAACTTGACCAATATGTGCTGGTGAGGATGCGGGGAAACTGGAACCCTCATATACTTTGCTTTGGAAAACAGTTTGGCAATTCCTCAAAAGTTTAAACATAGAATTACCATATGGCACAGCGTTTCCATTCCAAGGTAAATGCCCAAGAGTAATGAAAACATACGTCCACTCAAAATCTTGTACATGAATGTTCATAGCAGCATTCTTCATAATAGTCAAAAAATGGAAACAACCCAAATGTCTGGCAACTAATGAATGGATAAATAAAATGAGATATATCCATATAATAGAACTTTATTCAGCAATAAAAATAAATGCAGGACTGATACATGCTACAACATGGATGAGTCTTGAAAACATTATGCTAAGTAAACGAGGTCAGTCACAAAATACCACGTACTGTATGATTCAATTATAAAAAATGTCCAGAATAGGTACAAACAGACAGAAAGTGGGTTACTGGTACCTAGGTTGGGGATGTAGGGGAGGAAATAGGCAGTGACTGCTAATGGGTACAGGGCTTGTTTGGGGTGATGGAATGTTCTAGAAGTGATTTTGGTGATGGTTGTACAAATCTATGAAAAATCATTGAATTGCAAAAAATAAAAAATGAAAAGTCCCCCTACCCCACCTTCACCAAAATTACTGGAGTGGACTATACATGAACCAGTACTGAGAATGGGTTATAATCTAAGCATAATGAATCCACTTCTATGTACCTGAAGTCCAAGATACAATGAATTAATTAACTCTGTTGTTTAAGTACCTTCTACTTAATTAAACTTAGAAGCTTTTGCACAGCAAAGGAAACCATGGACAAAATGAAAAGACAACCTACTGAATGGGAGAAAATATTTGCAAATGATACGACTGATAAAGGGTTAATATCTATCAGTATATTAATATACAAACCCCTCATACAGCTCAATATCAAAAAACAAGCAACTCAAAAAATGGGCAGAAGACATGAATAGATATATTTCCAAAGAAGACATATGGATGGCCGACAGACACATGAAAAGATGCTCAACATCATTAATCATCAGAGAAATGCAAATCAAAACCCAGTGAGATGTCACTTCACACCTGTCAGAATGGCCGTCATCAAAAAGACCACAAATAACAGATGTTGGCAAGGATGTGGAGAAAGGGTAATCCTTGTACACTGTTGGGGAGAATGCAAATTGGGGAAGCCACTGTGGAAAACAGCATGAAGGCTCCTCAAAAAACTAAAAATAGAATTACTATATGATCCAGCAATTCCACTCCCAGGTACATATCCGAAGAAAATGAAAACCCCAATTCTAAAAGATACATGCACCCCAATGTTCATAG